CTATTAATTATAAACATGCGCTTACCTTTTGACAGAACATTTGCATGTTAGTTTGCCAAAACAATGGAAAACAATTTGCCTTCGATATTTGCATCAATTTGCATAAACCAGCTCAATCCGTGTGCACTTGAACGTTTTAATTATGTTTTGTGAATATTGTTTCGATTATCATAGATGTCATCTATAGATTAAATTAAATGCATTATTCTGAAATGTTGCAATTCAAAGGAGATGTGTAGTGTAGTATCGGCATGAATCAAATTAAAAAGTGACATTTCAAATCATTTTGTAATTGATAGAATGAAAGCTTACTAAATAAAGTAGGCAGATTAAACAGCAAACGTTTACGAATATAACGCAAAGAGAAATAAAGAATGAAAAAGCGCTGTGGCATGTGGCTTATGGAATGAACTAGTTCAAACATAGATTGTTTGGAATACATATATTAAAATAAATACTAAAAACAAAACGGAACACACTTGCTTATATATGTTTTAAAATATTCATAAACATTTTAAAATAACAATTCACATATTTCATTTTGCTGGATCTTCCAAAATATTAGTCTACTCCTTAAAAAATGCCCTTGTGCTATGCTGTAATTCTCAAAATTATTCAAATTTTGACTTACGCACTTGCTGCTCATCCGTCAGACTACAAAGTGATTTCAGAGCCCACCAACTGTGCAACTAAGCCAGTGATAACTGTGGCATTTCAACTCAATGGACACACCAGAATAGGCGGCAGACAGCACAAATGGCCAATTGTGAGAGCTACGAAAAAAACGGGACGAGTGAATGATTACTTAATGCGGGCACTGTTGACAATGACGAGCCAACTAGCAGAAGCTTCGGAACAGAACAGAAGCATCCTGCCCTTGCCGGCTTGGTTTTCGGTTTAGCTGTCATGAGCGCATCCTTTGGCTTGAATTGACTACCACCTCTCGCCGTTACGTTTCTTTTATTGCTTCATGGTAATTTAGATACTTCCGTTAGCACACATACTCGTAAACACACGCCTCAGTAAACAAGGATTCTTACGGCCTGCCGCCTGGGCTCCAGGTAGTTGACTTCCCTTTCGACTGGCGCAGTTGTTGGATCGGTCACCGGGGTCACATTAATTTCGCGCTGTGGCAATTGTGGCATATAAATTTGGCACGATTGCCATTTAATACCATTTAGCTTGTTGCCAAGGGGTATTTCAAGCTTTCGTCGAATATATAATTGAGCAAAAAAAATGGCCTATATATATTGATTCTTATAAAACAGTTGCAAGTTGTTGGCTCATGAGTATACTTACAGGGTATGTTGAAGTCGCGCAACCGTGTGTTTTTCAGGTATGCCCTATGGCTTCCTGCCGCAATTTGCATATGAAATATGTCCAAACATGCAAATTTCCAGCGAGCACATGAACCAAAAATTTGTTATATATTTGCCAAGCTAACAGCGTGTATATTTCGTGCTGCCTGCCTTTTGGACATATGATAAATGAAGTCAAAATAAAATATCCTATAATTTCTAAAAATACTTTTTCATTTGCATTTTAATTTTATTTCAATAGAATTTTTTACAAATTTAAAAAAAATATATATAAAGTTGTGCTGAAAGTAAATGAATATAAATATTTCAAATATAGCTCGACAGTTGTTTTTTTTAGATACAAGCTTTTATTAAATTTTTGGCCATTTAAATCTATATTTATATGAGGTTTCCAATGTGTGAGCATTTCCATTACGGTTGCCCAATCGCTCTCAATTGACAGCCGGACATTTGCACAGTTCACTGAATTTCAATTGATTTGCCAGCAAACAAAGCAGCGCCAAGCAGCAAATGCCAAATGCTTCGTTCTGTGCAAATTAAAAATACCATTTCCATGTCATATCTGCAGTGTTTAGGCATCCGTTCGTGCATTATGCATTGGACTTAATTGAATTTCCAGTTGGACAGGGTCAGCTGTAGCAGCTGTCATTGTCAATGTCCGCAAACTCTGCCCGTTCTTTGGTATTGTCTGCATTTCGAGATACTTTCGCGTTAATTTTTTTCGAGTAGTATTTCTTCTGCAGCTGTTTTGCACTTACTTGAACATAATTTCATTACGCATACGCACCGTTTGCTAATTACATGGAACTTGCTCGCAAAACTTTTGCCAGAACTTGCAGCGGCGCATTATCGCAGGCATCAAGTGCAAACTTGTCCTGCTGTAAAGTTTGTTGCCTGCCTGCTTATCAACTGGCTGGCTGGCTGGCTAGACAAGCTCGGAAAAGTTTGCAACAACAGATGCATTTTCTTAAACATTAGCCGCCTGATGTACTCCCAACTCCCCCAAATACTTACTGACAAACCGAAGACACCTGTCAACCAAGATCATGTCACGGAATTGCCAACGTTGAATTCTCGGTTCATGAAATGTACATTTTAATATTCCAGCTAAATGTCTGCGCAGTTATATACAGCCTGAGTAAAAGAGCATTCAACAAAACAAAAATACCAAAAATACTGAAATTAAATGCAAATAAATACCAAAAATATACTGTTAAGCAAAGCTTCAGCAGAGTCGAAATAAAAGCATAACTTAGCAGCATCATCATACCATACGGGGAATTCAAAGCAATACCAGGTTTAGTATTTTCTGTGCTGGTGGATTCTTATAGACGGAGGGATCAAAAATAAAACACAAGCGCAATTTTTGTTAGTTTTTAGTTTTGTTTTTTTTTTTATAGAGAGGGTAGTTTTCTCCGCTAAGGATTTTCAAAGTTTACTTTTATTTAGAGAAGTTCCTTTAATGATAATCATACTTATGGTTTTTGGTTTTTTTTTTGCTGTTTGCTGTTTGCCTTTTGTTCTTAAAAGTTTTTTTTTGTTTAATAGTTGTTGTTTAACAGCTAAATACATGTTATAATATTTGAGTGTGTTTTGTTTTTCGATTTTAATTTTCGGTTTCTGTTCTTTCTGGTAATGTTTTTGACGTATGGTATATTTTGTTCGTTTGTTATTTGGTTTTGCTGCGTTAAAATTCACTTACTAGCTAGGCTTTAATTATGTTTTTTCTTTCTAAATTATAATTGTTTTGTTGTTGTTTGGTTTCTGGTTTAGCCTTGGATGTTGTGCGGCACCGTGTTGTTGTTTTTGTCTTTAGAGTTCGCATTTCGACAAGTTTAAGAATCAATCATTTTTTCTAAAATTAGGTATTAATCTATATGTCCATATATCTTAATAGTTACGTGACTTAATAGCTTAAATTGTAACAATAAGTTTTGTATTTTTGTGAATGGTAACTTTTGCATTCATTTAAGCAATACACATAGTAATATTTCGTTATATAATTGGTATGCCCATATAATATATGTACTTATATATTAAATTTAAACGCTTGGAATGAACTTTAACACCAACTTACATGCTAGAGAATTGATTTCTATAATAGTATATAATAATTATATTTTCGCTTTGACTCTGGCGCACCAACTTTTGGCACATGCTGTACTTTTTGTCGTGTCGTTTCGCAACACTGCCAACGGCCATCACTTAGCAGCTAGATTAATTGAGTTGAGTTGTTACATAACATGCACATTTCTTCATCAATTCATGAGTAGTTATGTAATATTATTAACTGGTTTTTAAATATTTGACTATATACGTTTACATATGTTTATATATGTGTATATATATGTATATTGAATTAATAAATATATTTAAATTGTAACATTTATAATTTTTCGTATATTGTAATGTTAGAACTTTGGAAAAATCACTAAAATGTATGTTTAATATATCTTGTTATTTAACTTTCCATTAACTTTCCACATCTCATATGACCCTCAACATTAATTTTTGTGGATTTTTGTTGTTGTAGTTTTGACTAATTTAAAAAACGATTTTGAATAAACGCATTTTTCGATTAAATATTTTGAGAGTGCGTGTGCTTTGAGCAAACCTTATGCCACAACGAGAGCCTAGCCAACGAAAATGTATGACATTGCATTGGGAGACTTCTCAAAATTTCAATACTCTCGGCCCAACGGTGCTCTGCACAATTTTCGTGGCACCCTCACACCCGTTTCGTCTGGACTCCTTGCCAGACTACTCAGCGTGCTTAATGCGCTCTTGAACAGTGGCAACGCTGGACTTATGGAAACCCTCGGGAAAACGTTTTATCGGAAATCCAATTGTCTAGGCTAACTGTGTGGCACAATTGAAGTGCTTAAAGCAATAGACCCCTACTTACAATACATTTATAATTTAGCTTGAACATTTTTCTTTGATTTAAACTGTTACCCAGCCACGCAACGGGTGGCATTTGAAGCAAGGCGCTGTCTGGCAACGCTGCGTGTTTCATATGCCAATCGTTTCCATGTCTGCGAGCCGCGGCAATTCAGCAATTGCGTATACTTGACTTGGCTCTGCTTTTTTGATTATACTGTTCCATCGTTTCGCTAGCAATGTTTCAAATTTTAATTCGTTACTTTATATAATTGTTTAATTGTTTTTTTTTTTTTTTTCTGTAACCACCAATACCTTAATTAATTAATATGTGTTGTATATGTAGATTTAAAGTGCAGCTTGGTTCACGCCTTGTAGCTGGCTGCTACTTTGTGCTATTGACGCTGAGCGCGTTTCATTTCATGCATTTCATTGCCCAAATGTTTGGCTTTCGTTTCGGTTTTTGTTTTTGTGTGAATTCCCTAGATCTTGTTAATTGATTACTGCACTACGTTTATTCCACAATGTTGCTTACTGCTACGTTGGTTTTTGCATCTACGTTTTGTGGATTATCGGTTTTATGATTTTGCTCCATTCCGTTGTTCCGGTCTCTGCCGTTCCTCGTTTGGGCAGGCTGTTGTTTAATTTACTGTAGTACCTCAGCTACTCGTACTTTACTTCTGCTTCTCAAATAACTTTGCTGTAGTTCTGCTGCTCTTATTATTATAAGTTTTTAAGTTTTGTAAGTTTTAACTTTTGTTTTGCATACTTTTTAGTTAAGTTGTTGTTGTTTTGCGCGACTTATTTTTAATTAAATTTACGCTCGTTTTTCAATTTTCTACTTTTGTTTGTTTGTTGTGTCTTTTTTATCTTAAAGTCAAATGTGCTTGTTGTCGCTACATTTACTGTTCGAATTGTATTTTCATAAATGTTCTTCTTCTTTTGGTAACCTCATTTTTGACGAGTGTATTTTGTGTAGTGTAGTGTCGTGTTTTCTGTTGTTGTCTTTTAACTTTCTGCTAAAATTATAACACTAATTATGTTTAATTGAAATCATAGGCATAACTTAGCATTTGATTAAACGTAAACCAATTTAAAGATATTGTATACGTATGTATATATATAGTATATACACAAGTACTACTTATGTGTTTGCTCTTGTTTCAAACAGCTGAACAGCGCCTCATTTTCAAAATAGTATACTATATATAACTGTTAATTTATGTATAATTAGCATTCTTTGCCTTCCGAAAATCAGCTTGTCTAGTCCATTTGAAGTTTTATATATACGATATAAAGTTTAATGCTGACTTCGCAATGGATTTTCGACTGCTTTTTTAAAATATTCGATTTGGTTTCTACTAAGTGGGTTTCAACTATTTGCCATACATGTAGATATCATGGTTTTAATCGCACTACATTAATCGTTATCGTGTGTATACTTCGAGTGTATCTTTGTTATTGTTGTGTTTTGCGTATATAATAATATCTGACTAGTTAATGACAAACATAGCATTAAAACTAAATAAATATTATCGTTCAGTAACTACAGCGTCTGCCTTTCGTTTAAATAGTTTCGTTTGACTAAACATATATTTGTATATATATGCATATATTGTATACAAAATCATATTCGTATTCATATAAGTATGTATTTTAATATATAAGTATATTCTTAATAGAAAACCATACGTAAAATTGTCTATCGGTTTGCGTTTGCCTTCGCATTTGCTAAAAAGAAAGCGCTACACAAAATACGTGTTCTTCTCTTCACTAAGTACATAAAATATTAATGTATAATGTGCTACTAGATCGGAACTATGTGGTTTAGGTCCACCCGATAAATATCTTATGTTTTTTAGCAGCTTGTCAAAAACTTATCTCAAAATCGTTTATAAATTGTTTTGTTTGGCAAACTTTAAGCACTGCAATTCACACAGTACGCACAGCACTGAAACGTTGGGTATGAAACAGCAAGATCGTTTGTTTCATGCCCACATTCCAGCCTGTTGTAATTGTATTTAGCAGCTGGGTTATGTCAAAAACTCATTACAAAATAGGTTCGTTTTGTTTGACAAGCTTAAGAACGTACGTTTAAGTGGGAACGCTGGGAATGAAACAGCAAGATCGTTTGTTTCATGCCCACATTCCGCTTTCAGTGATTTCTTAGGCTAGCCAAACGAAAGCCATGTGTAAAATGCTGCCCATAAATAGGTTAAATAAAACGGTTAAAATATGCATCTAGGGTTACCAAAAATTGTTGCAAACAGTTTGGTTTACGTTTTCTTGACTAGATAGTTTGATGGGTGGGTTACATTTATCGAGGCTTAACATATAGGCAATTTAGACATTTCTAGCATTGGATATGATAGTTAGCGCTGTCGCCCAATGTGTGGATCGTGTGGGCTGGGATTCGTTGATGATATGATGATGATGATGTAATAAATAATATATGAATAAAGGAAATCTAAGAAAACATTAAAGCAAAGGAACTACAAATGTATTGCATGCTTCAACTGAAAGATCTATAACGACTACAGACGATAGCTAGAAAGAAACGTAGAGATGAACGAGCGAGCGAGCTACGAGTAGATTAACGACGAGAACGAGCGATAGCGAGTGTGGTGCGATAGTTCAACAAAGAGAGAGGGAGAGAGAGATAGAAACGAGACGACAGCGACAGCGACAGCGATGAGAGCGTACGATGTACAATGAAACGAGTACAAGAACGAGTACCCATTAATGTTGTTGTTGTTGTTGTTGTTGCTGTACTTGTACTGCGAGCTATTGTTGTTGTTGTTGTTGATTTGTCTAGAAATCTGTTGTCTTTGGGGGTAGCATTTAGAGTATGCTGCATATTGTGATTATATTTATTAAGATTGACTTGGAAAGAGTAGAATAATTATGAACTTAAGCATAGATCTCACGGCATACCAAACAAGTTGCCCCAACTTCTGCATCTGCTGCTGTTCGCCACTTAATGCCAGCGCCTGCGGTGCATCAGGATCTGCTCGTTCACGATCTGCCAGAATTTGCCATGCAGCCACAGGACGAGCACCACCAGCTGCATGAGCAGCGGCCACTGTTGTAGCTCGTGGCGTGTGCGACGCTTCAGTTGCTGGAGGCGCCCCTTGGGCCCCCCGAGTAGGCACTCGTGTGGTGCTGCCGGCGGCGGTGCATAGCTCAAATTGTAGTTGTAATAATAGTAGTAGTTGTTGTTGTAATGCTGCAGCTCTACCGGTACTAGATCTAGGGAATTGGATGCTTGGCTGCTACATCGATTGCTCGCTAAATAGTTGTCATTATTTTGGAATTGATTTGTTGCTGTTGTTGTAATGTTAGCTGAATTGGTTTTGATGTTGCTGCTGCTGCTGTTGTTGTTATTGTTATTATTGTTGTTGTTGTTTGGATGTTCATCATTACGGTATTTCTGTGGTTTGCGATAATATTACATGATGATACATTTGCCCTTTTCAGCCCACGGATTGTTCTTTTTATCCGGAGCATTAATCAATGGATCATTCTTCTCGTTCTCCTCAATAAACGAGCGCATTCTGTGGAGCATGGAAATATATTTAAATGTGATTAGTTGCCGGAAATTAAGGTAGGTCGTATAAAACATATGTCGTACTTTTTTTTTTTTAATTATCAGTATAACTAATGACTAGGATGGAAGTGCAATCATACTATGAATGAAGTAAGAAGGCATATACAATTTCTTAATAATATGTTTGAATATATATATTTGGAAACCATTCACATTGAGAAGAACAGAATGTTACTTTTTTAATACAGTTTGCCAATCTGTTGACTTTTAAACTTGTAAAGCCATTTTTACCGCACAGACTGTTCCTTTTTATAGTTTTCTAGTGCATCAAAAAAGTCAACTGTCATTGAGTCTCATATTATAAAGCAAGTCCTTGTCGTCCTCAATAAAAGCTCAACTCACATAGTTGCATATCTTCATATCCTTTTGTCAACCAACTACTGCCACACCTCGCCTAATCCTAGCTAGATTCTGTTCTTTAAAGATCATAAAACTTGTAAGCTCTCTATGTACAACGAAAAATCAAGCCATTTCAAAAATTGTTTAATGGTTGCGTACTTAAAGCTAAGCAGACATAAAACGACACCGCACGCCCCATGGACACAGGGTCGGGTCGGCGCTTCGCCAGCTCGTCGTCCGAACGGGTATGTCCATAAAAAACCAGGCAAAATCCAAGATGGGCGGGTCAGGCACATGGCTAGCTGCTAAAGTGTGCTCAGTGGGGCTGGGGAAGGGGCTCCATCCAGTCAGCTGCTTTTATGCTAATCTGCACGCAGATGGACATTAAAAATGTTCAACGCTTTACACGCGCCGCAGGAAACTTAAAACGGCACCAGAAAATATACCTCTCCCTGTCCCGCTCTATCTCCACGACATCCAGTGAATGGAAGTCGTCTGCATATACGTGTTGTTGTTGTTGTTGCAATACACTTATCCTTTAGCACCATAAAAATGGCTGCCCCGTCGTTTGCATTTGTCTCTTTCTCATTCGTTTTGTCTGTCTGTCTGTCTGTCTGTCTGTTCCCTGGTCTGCCCATTTGTTTTCGTTTGTTTCGCTCAAGACGAAATTTCGTGCACTTTTCCTTGCCACGTTTTCCTTAGCTTTTCCTCTTCATTCTCATTTTTTACAGAAAATTTGCAAGAATTTATTTATTAAGATGGAGGAGAGAGTACGACGAAAACATAAGAAATGGCAGTCGTTCGTTACAGTCCGCAGATAAAAGTATTCGTACAGCCAGATAGAAAGACGGACAGACAGACCGACAGACACTGTGGCACATGCTTTGCATTTCAATTTAGTGCATGAATTGTTTACTTTTCATTTTTCCTACATCCCATTCCGTTTGGTATGGATCACGCGGCGTATGCGTTATATTCATATTTTTATGAAAATGTTTATTGCAAAACGATTTCCGCACAACTTTGCGTTAAAACAAAGAGCAGAATATTGAAAAATTATAGATGTAAAGCGTTTTAAGGTAGATACAAATTGGTAACATTTCAACCAACTTAAAAGGAGCTTCTTTAGGGTTTCAAATTTAGTTTGCCTTGACCTATGAGTTCATTAATATACACAAAAGTTTAAATAACAATTTAAGCACAAATTTGAATCAATACAAGTAAAAATATAATTACTAGATATTTGAGCTGGAAGCTTTCATCTTTTCAAAGATATACTTTTACAAATATTTATAAAAATGTAATCAACTATAATTAGTCAACATATTGAGAAGCTCTAAAGGCAATTTAAATAATTGATAGTCACAGAAACTTCAATTTTATGCTCACGAATCGAATTTAATTTAATTAAGAGTAAAAAGCCAAAGGATTATTTTGCTCAGATCGAAAAGACTTTACTATTTATTCTCCGTTTATAATCGACGCATTATTTCTGGCATAGTTGTTTTGGCTTTGGCTTCATTTGTTATTGTTTATCTATTTGCTCAACCGGTTATCACCTTTGTTCAATATTCTGTTCAATATGGCTGTTAGGTTTTGTGTATTTGCATTTGGTCCTTGTCGGTTTTGGCATTTACTGATTTGCGTGCTAGTATTTACATTTATCGTAGATTTCATTGGCATACGGCTTGCCCTCATTAGTTTTGTTTGCTGGCTGTTAAAGAACGAGATTTCCGTCTAACTTAAATTGTGGCACACGTTTCGTATACGCAATTTCGTTGCCTGCTGCAAATGTGCGCAAACTATTGTGTTTGGCAAGTGTAGGCGCAGGACACGCCCACTCATGTTGCCGCATTTATGCATAATTTAACTAACAAGACCTTGTCGACTTTGCTGTCCTTGTTGTGTGCGTATCTGTGCGTGTGTGTGTGTGGGCGTTTATATTTCCTTGCTCATTTTCCGCATCAGCAGAGCAAAAGGCAACGTCATATGAGCTCGTAGAGCAGGTACATGCCCGGGCAGGAGGAAGGGCATGTTATAGGTATAGGTAGATACATAAAACAATGCCCAGCAAGGCTAATGGGCTTATGACTCTGCGGTTTTTGGCCTGTGCAGCCGGAAAACCCCGCTGGCAGGACCCCTAAACTGAGCCAAAATCCACAAGCGAGAGAGAAACCGAATGCGACGGCGACAGCGAAAGTATTTTAGCCCCTAAACAAAAGGCCAAGGGTTCCATGCTTTTTTTTTTTTTTGTTGCTTGGGTTACGGTTCGACAGTCAAGGCTATTCCGAGAGGGCGAAATGGGGACTTGCCCTAAAAAGCCAGTCAACAAAGTTGTTATGATGACGTTTTTGCGGCGAATGCTGCGAGAAAGTGAAAATGAAAGTAAAAGTAAATTCTTGCAGCCCTCTGTTAGCTCTATGACATTTCATTTTGTGCGGCTCAGCCAAGGGAGAACTCTGCTCCTTATCATGTATTTATAATGAGCGCATTAGCAAGAAATGTCCCGAAAAGGTTTGCCAAATCTCCTAAGTATCTTATTCAGGCAAAGAGGGACGGAATCAGCCAGCGTAAGAGAGAGAAAGTGAAGGAAAAGGGAAAGACGACTGCACTTAAAGCGTTTGGCGTGGAAATTTACAATAACCACGACCTACTCGTCTCCATATTTTCAGTTTTCTTTTATTTCCTTTCTAGCCTAATCATTGTCTTTAGAATTTATAGCATACTTTTCGGCGGCGCTTAAAGAGTTTAAATCTGTCATTTCAAGTATTTGCGCTGTCAATATGGCCGCGTAAAAAGCTAAAAGCAAACAAGCATGCTTTAGTCAAGTATCCGACTAGAAGATACCCAGGCACATATCGGCAAAAGATTCAATCTAAGCTTATGCCAAAAATCAAAATCCAAAATGAGTCATTTTGTTGGGAAAGTAAATAGATTACAGGGCTTTTTCTTAGCTCTGATCCAAACAATTTGAATATCATGGGTCAAGTATGTCTACACAAACTTTTTCACATATTTAAGGTACAGGGTAGATACAGTAGATTTGAATGCAGGCCTATGAAATATGCATAGGAGGCATACGCAGTTCCAGGACCAGGAGAAGGCTCCTGCTGCCTAATGATGATGTCATCAGGCAGCTGTACGTGGAAATCTGCTGTCGAAAAGTTAGCTCATAACTGTAAGACGCATTTAATAAGCAATGGTGAAAAGTTGATGGAATATGAGAAAAATATAAAAAGTTTCTCCTCATGGGCCAGAACGTCGCGCAGCTGCAGCAAATATCCCCACAGGCCGCTCCTAGAGCAAAAGGAGATTGCGTTGAGATTTCTAAACTGTCTGCGTCGTTCGGCCATTGAGCACATTCATTGAAAACTAATTCAAAAGCTTTAATTAAATATGTGCACTTTCATCCAATCTTCATCTAGTTCTCCGACGCCCCAGCCCCTTGGCCCACTGTGCTTTTGTGGGCTAATTAAAAGCACTTCCGTTCAAACGGCTGCCAAGCTGTGTGTGTGTGTGGTTGTGTGTGTGTTTGTGTGTTTGTGTGCGCGTGAGTGTGTGGGTGTGGCAATCGAGTCCAACAGTTGCGAAATGCGATTCGAGCCATTTAGATGCTTATTTCCTGCCATCTGCCAAATGGGCCTGACAACATTTTACTCTTTGGGTTGAGCAAATTATTATATTAAACAGGTTATAAATTATGCGGCAGCCGAGCATATCGACGTAGATTAAATTGACAGACTAAAATATGAAACTTGGAAAAAGTGACAGAGATTTAGCACAGAAATTTTAGCACAGAGATTTGTGAATAGGACAATGGGTCATGTTTTTTTCCGTGGCACGCCAGAGCCGTGCTGCAAAACTATCTTTTGTGCGTGTTCAATATGGGTCCGTGCAAATCACACCCACACGCAGAGCACAACTCTGAAACCAAGCTATTGTAACAACATCGATATATTCGATGCATCGCATGTTTCAGCTAACACGAACATTTTATGTTCCCAAAAGGTTACGTATGTATGTCTCCCAGATCCGACTTAGTTTACCCAAGCTAAAGCCATTGAGAATAATCAGCTGAGCTTTAGCGGATTTTGTGTTATTTGGCTAAATCTGGCCAAGTAAATAAGCGCTAAACAGGCATCACTATTCGACAACCTTACTGTAATTCTCCTTATGGCAACAACAACAATTCTAGCTCTCGCAGTCCATATGTATTGAGGAATGTGCATAAGAAGCGTAACAAAATGAGAGTTACAGTTAGGCATCGAGCTGACATTGCGCACATACATATGTGTGTATGATTGTAGGCAAAGCGAAAATGGTCCAGACAGACAAAAACTAATATGCGAGACGGAGATAGCTAGCTTGGCTGTGTTTTACGTTTACACTCGGCTCGTACGAACATATTCGTAGTAAAATTAAAGGCAAGTTGCAGATCAGATAACTCAGTAGCTGCGTTGTCTGTGCGCCTGGTAGTTAGAGATGGCACTTAACGCTTACTTGAAAAAGTGCCAGTGCCTGCTATCGTCATAATTATAGAGAAATTTTACTTTATTTTAACTACATTTTATTTAAGGTTATTCATAAAAAAGAAACTTAACGGCTTTAATAAAGTAAATAAATTACAATAAGTAGACGATAATCTATTATAAATTCCCACGATCGGGTTTTTGATTCTTATATTTAGATTGGAAATAGTTTTCTTATATTTTTTTTACTATCAATTTAGTAGACTGGAACTTTTTCAAATAATAAGCATCTTGTCAAGATCGGGCTATTTCTGAAAACTATAACCATGCACATTTTATATGCATTAGATTCACATACAACCAGCATTTAAAAAATTAAGTGTGTGCAAACTCGAGGCTTGAATGTGCAAGTCGAATTGACTACTGGGGTCAAATAAATGTGCAAGGCGGACGAAAAATAGAGCGATAAGCAAAAACGGTAACTCCTGAGAGCGCGATGCATTGGTAGATAATGCACAGCCACGCATATACACATGCATATGTACGTACATATTTGTCGATTCTCTCCGAACACATTTATGTATGTGTGTCTGGTTGTGCGTTATCTATTTATGCAAAAGTGTATGGGCTTATGCTCCGAAAAAGTAATCTTGTGCTCAGTTTTCTGTGCGCAGTTTTTGTCGTCCGCCTTACACAGTCGATTCTCGCACCATTTTAGTTTGCCTCAGGCAGCCAACTTAATGTGATCTTACGCTGCGCGCTGTATTCGTTAAAAGTCTTTTAAGAATACAAATGGACTTTTTCGGGCTACATACATAAATCGTCTAGCTTTCGAATCGCATATACATAGTTTCAAACGTCTACCGGTCAAGACTAATGATTTTCATAAAAAAAGTCGGTCGTTTATTATTTTAAAGTCTTCGGCTGAGGCGCAGCATCGTTCGGTTGCCTATAAATAAGCTAAATGTTGTATAACTTAAATCCGATCCTTTCTAGTCTCCTGCTATTTAGGAGCTATAGTGGCCATTAAACCTTGCAGTTCTTTTATTTGGGCAAATTTAATGGCAACGGATAACTAAGATGGGACTCGAGCCTAGGTATTCACACACAATCAGCAATGAATAAATTCTGTGTTTGCCGAATCGTCTGCTTGAATATGCGAGTCAAATTTACAACTGGGGTCAAACGCACACAGATCTAATGTGCCAGGGCGCAAAGCGGACGATAAACAAAACAATAGCTCGTGAGAGCGCGATTTATTGGTAGATAATCTGTGCATGCCTGTGCATGCATATGCACATCAGTAGGTACATACATACAGATTTGGCGATTCTCTCCGCTCACACTCGTTTGTGTGTGTGTGTGCTTGTGCGGTTTGTATTTCTTCAGCTCTCGCATTCTAAAGCGATGCTCATTCTGTGTTAGTTTGTGTCCATCAGCAAATTTAATGTGATATTACGCTGCGCGTTGTAGTCTTTAAAAGACTTAAGAATATAATTGTAAATTATCCAGTTTGCAAACTACTTCAAAACAGGTCTATTAACTATATTTACGATTCAATAGTGCACACTGACTTAACTCATTTGTTGCTCCTCCCAAGTATATAAATGATATACAAAAATGTTTGTTTTTGGTTTTATCATTTCTAGCGTTCTTTTGAGTATAAGGCAGATGCTCAGTAATGCATTTCTTCTACTTTTTACTGCGATGGCTCCACGTCAGGCTGGTCGCTGTGATACAAGGTAAGAGCATATGTCAAAGGTCTTGCAGTTCATATTACATAATTCCACAATTGCAGGAGATTTCGGCTCAACAACGTTGCCGTTTTGGGCATGTTATCTAGGCGCAATGCACTTAGTTTAAATATGCAACCACATTTATGTTAGGCACAATATACCTAAATATAAAATAACGCCTGCCGTGGCCAGGGCCCCGTTGCTTTCGACAACTTGGATGAAGATGAAGCTGTGAAGACGGACTGTGAACTACGTTGGGCGAACATTACCCAAACTCATTTGTTGCTTCTCTTAAGTATATATTTGATATAAAACAATGTTTTCCGTATTGTGTTTTGACGCTTTTACTTTTCCAGTATTCTGCTAATCTTGCGAGGATTAACTGGATACGGAGAGCGCACCAGCTATCTTTCGCGCTGACTGCGATGATGGTGCCTGAACAGACTGCTGGCAGTGTAACAAAGTAAGAGCATATGTCAAAGGTCTTTCAGTTCATATTATATTTATCCATAATTTCAGGTGATTTTGTATCAACATCTTGGTTATAGCCAGGTCGAGTTTGCACATGTTGCACGTCTTCCACTAACCTTAATGTAATTAAGGTAATTCCATTGTGAAACCGGAAAAAGGCTGTTTGCTTTTCCTCTATCGCCGTGACCAAGATCTCCGTTGTAATTTCCAGCCCCCAGCTAAAGGTGAAGCTACAGGATGTGAACTATATTGGATATCCTGTGCCGGCGACTATGCCGCTGCCATGCGTTCCAAATTTACCGGTACTCATGGCTAAGTATGTCAATTTGAACCTCATTATTTTTGTATTAATTAATATCATTTGTTTCCAGATTTAAGCAGAGTTCTGTTAAAAAATTGCGTTTTCATGACGGTCAGCGACTGGAGTCCATAACTTCTATATGCGATCGACGAAGATGATCTTTGCGCTCGGCTAGTACAAGGTCCTTTGAAAAACTCAAAGCGTAAACCTTTTATGATTTTGGTGCCTCTGGATAAGGATCATCACCATTCGGTTCCCTATCATATCTTTTGCGCTTGAGTGGCAATTCAATAGTGCACATTACCCAAGCACATTTGAAGACGTTGAAGTGAGTAAATAATTGATATGTAAAAATGTTTTTGTGTATAACTGACGCTTTTATCTTTCGTAGGTCGCAATTCTTGGGAGGATTAAGTGAAAGAGAGAAGGCTATTCGCTGTGATACTAGGTAAGAGCATACGTCAAAGGTCTTTCGATTCATATTACATTACTCCAAAATTGCAGGCAATTTTGGATCTACAGCTTTTCCGTTTTGTGTATGCCGAGCTTGCCGAATGGAAGGTATTTGCACTATTTGGACTCAGGTATGAGGCCACGGGCCGGGAATTACGCTGGATTTCTTGTGTTTTCGACTCTGCGCTGCCACGCCCTACAAATTTGCTGGTACTTTCAACAAAGTATGTATTATCTGACTCTCATTTTCATGTACGGTGTTTGTCTTAAAACTTAAGCACAGTTCTGTTGCCTCGACGCGTTCTTTGTCATATATATTGACCAGATTTATCAACTGGCTGATTAGCTTTGCCATTGTCCTTGTAGCTTCCAAGATACGACTAATTTTTTCAAAAAGCTCATTTATCAAAAAACTGGCTATAGCTTGTCCAATTTGAGGACTATTCTGGTGTCCTTTGGCCAGCAGACAGGCCCCACCACACCCATTCAGAATACACAAAGAAAAGGACGAATGTCCTTCAATCACCAAAGAAAAGGATACATTTATGTTTACACAAAAATGCCTGTAACTTGGCCATATCCTTGCGGCTCCTGGGGAACTCTGTGTTAAACAACTCCCAATGAGCAGGGCTACCAGCTTGCCGAAGGACTTTAAAATCGTCCCTGTAGTTTCCAAGATATCAAGGATTGTCTTAGTTAAACTTGTATCCTTGCACCCTCCGCTGAAATTTGTCGGATCCTTAAATTTTTAAATGCAGTTCGATGCAGTTCGTCCTTACGATTCTAACGGACCAAGTCCTTCCAAAATCCGCCAGGATATGGCTGAGCTATGGCAATTTTTCTAAAAAGGACATTCTATTTTTAGCCATTACTCGGTCATATCCTTAAGGATATCGGAAGGATATACCTTTTTGAGCTCGTGAGGAGCAGGACTATCGATTGGCATTCAAGGATTTCCAAGATTCGACAAAAAATTTTACTAAAATTTATTACAGGGGTTTAGTCAGAAAATGGCCAAAAATCGAAAAATTCGGGACTATCTTCGCCATTTGAAGGACTATCGGGATGTCCTTTGGACAGCAGATAGTCCTCACCCTCCCATTTAAGAATATACAACCTGAAGGACGAAAGTCCTTCAAACAACGAAGTTTTAAGGACAAATTTTGATAAAGAAAATAGGCCATAACTCGGCTGTATCCTTGCGTATCCTGACAGGACATGTGTCAAAAAAATTGTACGGACCAGGCCTACCAACTGGCCAAAGGACATCAAGATCGTCCTTGTAGTTTCAGAGATATAGCGATTTCACTGAAATTTTGTGTTTTCAGTCAATTTTTCTTGCGGCCCGCGACTGAAAATTTACCAAGTCCAGGATTCTTAGATGACCCCATAATGTTTAAATGCAGTTCGGTGCAGGTGGTCCTTACGATCCTAACGCACTATGTCCTTTGAAAATCTGCAAGGATATGGCTGAGTTATGGCTATTTTTTTCCTCAAAATACCTTATATATCAGGAATCACATTTTTAATTCAATTGTGTTTTTATCGTTTCAGTTTGCAGGATTCAAGGACTCTTATCGATTCTAAGGACTTTTACGAATCTAACGAGGTTACTGCTTCCAGGATCGGACGTTTATTATGCCAGATATTATCATTTTTAGTTCAAATTAAAAACACATACTAATTTTAACAAATAATAAATTTATTTAAAATTATCAAACAAATTCCTGTTTTTTTTATCTCCAAGGGATATGGGATTGCAAAAAATTCAAAAATTAACGGTCGTTGAAATTCTGTCCGCTGGCTGCCGAGATTTTTCTTAAATTCTGCTAAAATACCAGGCGAACAGAAATGCCCAGAAGGTCGACAGAAAATTTCAGCGGGCGAAAATTTTTGTTGCATACCCGAAAGGGGCGCCTTCGTCGGCGGCTGGGTCCCAAATTCAGCCAAAATACCAGGCGAACAGAAATGCCCAGCAGGTCGACGAAAATCTTCGAATAAAAAATTTCATTGCATAACCGTAAGGGGCAAAAATGCCACTCATTTAAAATGAGTGCTGTTAAGCAACAGTACTGTAAAAGGAGTGCTGTAAGGACGGCTGTTAAGTAGCATTCCAGCTACAGTTCATGTACAGGGGCTGCTGAAAGAAAAAACATACATATTTGTGGACCATTTCAATGCAAACTTTGCAGGGATTTAATCCTTTAGGTTTCCAAGGACTATATCAATGGTATGGTATAACCAAGGATATGATAGTCAACTAGGAACCGTCAGTGAGCGGGGCAGTTGCCATCGGCGGCTGAAAGAAAAAGCATACATATTTTTGGACAACATTCTTGCGCATTTTGCAAAAAGTCGGTCCTCTGGGTTTACTAGGACTATATCATGGTATGGTAATACCAAGGATATGAAAGTCAACTATGAACCTTCCTTTAATTTAACTCAGAACGAGTGTACAGTGGCTCTCAGCAGAACAGAGTGCCAAGATTTTGCTTTGATTGACAGATACATATGGGCGCAATGACGCTTGGGAAACTTAATTGTAAATCTATTTTAGTGTTGGCACTTTTAAAAATTATTCAATCCATTTCTGTCGATATTGATGATGGTTGTTGCAATGAAAACAGCAACAGAATGGTTATGACGGGCAGCGTCGAATTCCGTATAAGATTGGGTTTGAAATACAAAATCCGCCATAGCTCAGCAATTTATTAAAAATAAATAGCAAAAGCTTGCAGGAATTGAGTACGCTTTGGGAAAGCTCAACCTTTTGAAGTCGTGAGAAATCCCAAAATGTTGTTTTCGGTTTTGATTCTTAGCACTGAAACATTTTAGTGGCAATCGAAGGTCCTGATTAAAAGGTATCTGAAAAAGCAAATCAATTCAGGAGTGACATTTATCAACATTTCCATAAACTTATTGAATATATTTTGAATAAGTTCAAATCTTAATTTAAATAAAATAAATATAAGCTCCTCTGTAAATATATGATGGCATGTACCCCTCTTAATACCAGGCGGAAACAATTATTTGATTTGATATACGAATTCCCCCATACACCGACCAAAACTTTGGGTGCAAACGCAGCTTAACAGCAGAATCGACTGTAATGATCTTGCTGTCTCGTTTTGCCGAATACATATCTATGTATATGCGCTATTAAGGCTGCTCTGCAGCTTACGCGACCTGTTCATGCACATTTGTTAATATATGTACATAAAACGCACTCTGGCGACTGTTGTTCGAAAAAGTAAGCCCTTTGAAAATTGGTATATATTGTTCACATCAGATTTTCAAATTATGTTCTTAACAGACTACATCGCGCAACGTAACATAACATTATGTTGGCTGCTTGAGTCAAACTCACACAGAATGAGAATCGACGAAACAAAAGGCGCACAGAAACTTGAGCAAGTAAACCATCACAAGAGGCATCATTCTTTTGAGCTTACGAAATAGATAACGCATAAGCAAACGCCACTACAAACGAGTGTATGCTAAGCGAATCGCCAAATATACACTGTACGTATGTATGTATGTGTATATGCGTGCCCGTGCATTATCTATCAATACATCGCGCTCTTATGAGATTCTTGTTTTTTGCTTATCGCTCTCTATTTTTCGTCCGCTTCGCTCAATTGCATCTTGTTTGTGTGTTAGTTTGTCCCCAGTAGTCAATTTTTCTTGCACATTCAAGCAGACGATTCTGTTGTCTTATCCATACCAATTTGTCAAATATTAGAAGAGAAATTTTTAGTGACCACTTTTGTTTCAAACTCGAAGGAGACTAGGAAGGAATACTCTAGGATCTGACTTAAGTTATAGAGCATATAAATAATTAATAGGTTCATTTTTGTGCGCGTATTAGGCAGCTGCGTATTAGCGTAATGTACGAATTCGTTGCAATTACTTTGACTGGGAATGCGAGTGCAAAGGGAGCACACATCTAAACAGAATTAAATAATCTCGTTGTCTCGCTTAGCTTAACGCATACATACATATAGTACATATACGAACCAAAAAAGAAAGAACTTCTTTTGTACTTACGTTTGCACATTTGTTAATATAATCACCTTTATATTGAGTAACAATCAAAAAACGTATGCTGTTTGCCATAGGTACCCGAATGATGCTGTGCCTCAGCCGAAGACACCAAAATAATACAACATTTTTTATGCAAATCATTTCTCTTGACCGGTAGACGTTTGAAAAGACATATGATTTGAAAGCTATACGATATATACCCGAGAAAGTCCATTTGTATTCTTAAAAGACTTTTAACGACTACAGCGCGCAGCGTCAGATCACATTATATTGGCTGCTTGAGTCAAACTAAAATGGTACTCTAATCGACTGTGTAAGGCAGATGACAAAAAAGGCGCACAGAAAACTGAGCAGGCAACCGTTCTCTCACAAGATTTCTTTTTTAGAACATACACCCATACACTTATGCATAACTAAATAACGCACAACCAGACACACATACATAACTGTGTTCAGAGAGAATCGCCAAATCTGTATGTATGTACCTACTGATGTGCATATGCATGCACAGGCATGCAGAGATTATCTACCAATAAATCGCGCTCTCACGAGCTATTGTTTTGTTTATCGTCCGCTTTGCGCCCTGGCACATTAGATCTGTGTGCGTTTGACCCCAGTTGTAAATTTGACTCGCATATTCAAGCAGACGATTCGGCAAACACAGAATTTATTCATTGCTGATTGTGTGTGAATACCTAGGCTCGAGTCCCATCTTAGTTATCCGTTGCCATTAAATTTGCCCAAATAAAAGAACTGCAAGGTTTAATGGCCACTATAGCTCCTAAATAGCAGGAGACTAGAAAGGATCGGATTTAAGTTATACAACATTTAGCTTATTTATAGGCAACCGAACGATGCTGCGCCTCAGCCGAAGACTTTAAAATAATAAACGACCGACTTTTTTTATGAAAATCATTAGTCTTGACCGGTAGACGTTTGAAACTATGTATATGCGATTCGAAAGCTAGACGATTTATGTATGTAGCCCGAAAAAGTCCATTTGTATTCTTAAAAGACTTTTAACGAATACAGCGCGCAGCGTAAGATCACATTAAGTTGGCTGCCTGAGGCAAACTAAAATGGTGCGAGAATCGACTGTGTAAGGGGCGTACGACAAAAACGGCGCACAGAAAACTGAGCAGGCAACCGTTCTCTCAAAAGATTTCTTTTTCAGAACATACACACATACACTTATGCATAACTAGATAACGCACAACCAGACACACATACATAACTGTGTTCGGAGAGAATCGCCAAATATGTACGTACATATGCATGTGTATATGCGTGGCTGTGCATTATCTACCAATGCATCGCGCTCTCAGGAGTTACCGTTTTTGCTTATCGCTCTATTTTTCGTCCGCCTTGCACATTTATTTGACCCCAGTAGTCAATTCGACTTGCACATTCAAGCACTCGAGTTTGCACACACTAAATTTTTTAAATGCTGGTTGTATGTGAATCTAATGCATATAAAATGTGCATGGTTATAGTTTACAAAAACATTTAATAACAATATGGCCGCTAAATAAAGTCCGACCTTACAAGCTGCAAATCTGTTGAAATAGTTGCAGTCTTGAATATCGATGGGAAAACAAAACCCTTCCAATCTGCCGATCGAGGGAATATAAAGTAGATTAATGCCTCCTTATTGGCATTTATTTATTTAGTTCACATATAAATTTAGTTAAAATGAAATAAAACTTGGCTTCAATTATAACGAAAGCAGGCACCGGCACTTTTTCAAGTAAGCGTTAATGCCATCTCTAACTACCAGGCGCACAGACAACGCAGCTACTGAGTTATCTGATCTGCAACTTGCCTTTAATTTTACTACGAATATGTTCGTACGAGCCGAGTGTAAACGTAAAACACAGCCAAGCTAGCTATCTCCGTCTCGCATATTAGTTTTTGTCTGTCTGGACCATTTTCGCTTTGCCTACAATCATACACACATATGTATATGCGCAATGGCAGCTCGATGCCTAACTGTAACTCTCATTTTGTTACGCTTCTTATGCACATTCGTCAATACATATGGACTGCGTGAGCTAGAGTTGTTGTTGTTGCAATAGAGAGACTTCTGGACTTTGAGCTGTTGTTGCCAAATAGTGATGCGCGTGTAGCTTGAATTAAAGTGGAAAATTTGGCTGCAAGACGCAAGGTCTGCTCTTACTCAGCTTTTTTTTTTATTAAATGGCTCAAGCTCGGGTTAATTAAGTCCGATCTTGGAAAAGTATCTTGTAAGAAATGCGAGTGTCCATACAATCGCAAAGAATACAAATATTTTCATTTTAAAACCCAATCAACTTTGACAAAAAATGTTAATCCCCTTGTTATTTCTATCGACACTTTTAGAATCGTATATTCCAGGATGAGCTATAATTTGTTTTATATTTAGCCTATTTGATAGTAATTATATTTAAGCCAGGGGCCGAAAAAAATAACAATTTTTTATTTTTGTTGAACACGTTTAATGCAACAGTTAATGTTGTGTTAGTTGGCCTCGAAAATGAATAATATTCTGCTTTATTGTGTGCGTATAAGTTTGAATACATGTAAATACATAGATGTATATATGCAGGTCATTATAAAATAAACTATATATTTAAAATTGGAAATTAATTTAATTTCGTA